GGAGACCGTCTTGTAAATCACTATGTATAGTGCGATTGGCCAAAATTGACGCAATAGTTCCAGACTGGATACCTTCGGAATGAGCACGATAACCATCTCATTCTCTTCGACCATAGAAGCATGACCTTCTAAGAGATCAAGACAAAAATTCAGAAAATCGTCACCAACCAACGGCCAAAAAGTTTTGTAGACACTTCTTGGTAAATCGTTAATGCATGGAGCCTTGTGTGGGTGCACTTGTAAGAAAGCCGCGTGAATTTCATCTTTAGTATACGTGGCTGTGAGGGTTGTATTTGTGTAATCGAAAATAACTGGTTCAACAGGTGCTACTTATGAGAAGGGATAGAATCGATCGAGTGATAGCACACTGGAAATAGTCATGCACCTCTTCCAGAATAGAGTCAAAGTTGTCCACCCATGAACCATCATTCTGATACAACCCATTTTTTCCTGAGGTACGTGCATGGAAATATGCTGAGTTGGTACTGTCATACGCCAACCACTTAACACGAGAGCGTTGTTTCCAAAAAAATCTCTTAACTCACCAATCTCCACATCAAATCCTTCCGGAGACGGATAAATTCTAGAAGATGAACGTCATTCATGGGCTGTCAAAGGAGAGTATTTAGGCGATGTCGTATAGTATGAATTCCATTATGATCTTTGACCTTACTTTCATGTTGTCACCTTTGTAAGTGATGACCCACAGCTTGGATTTTCATTAGAGTAGAGCAGGGACTAGAGCTCCAAGCAATCTCTACACACTGTACACATCCAGGGTCTTCACGCCAGTATTCTTCGAATCGAAAGAAATCCTCTCTTCGAGTAGAGACGGATGGCAGGGTAAGGCTAGTGTCCAACAGAATGTAACCATGATTTGAACAAGTCATAAACTCACTAAAAACTACACATGTAGGATGACTAGACAACCACGTATGAGTGCTAAAAATCGATCCAACCTTTCACAGAGTTGTTGAAGAACCCTTTGTCGCAACCATATTTCGGTTGGGCCTCAGAATTGAGTTTCAACTTGAAAAATGTGGATTGGAGTCGCCACCGATCATTTATTTAAAAATAAATGGGTTGATCGGATACCCTATTTCTTACCTGATCTGCGTCTTACCAGAAATATGTCGGGCTCGGGAGTCGGTTACAGTCAAGGAAGGATTAACACCCTTGAACCGCCCTTTCGGTACTACATAATTTCCAGTTGTCTTAATTAAGAAAATTGTGATTTTAAATTAAAAGGTAAAATTTGATCATTAATTACTTACCTCTGATTAATTGACGAAAATACCCTTAAAAAGTCATAAGATGTGTTAGAGGGAAAAAATAAATAAATGAAAAAAATGAAGAATAAAAATAAGTAAAAAAATAAAAATAAAAGAAAAAATAAATAAATAAATAAATGAAATATTAAATATATATATATATATATATATATATATATATATATGAAAAATAGAAAAATAATAATCATAACAATAATGATAGTAATATGAAAATATAATATAATATAAACAAATAAAAAAATCAAAAACAAAAATAAATAAATATATAAATCAAATATAAAAGTATACATATAATGATAATTGGTTTATAAATAAACTATTAAAACATACATATATACGTATAATGATAAAGTAAAAAAAAACTAAATAAAGATAATTATAATATATACATATATATGGTAATAATATGCTTATAAATAAAATATTTAAAAAAAGTATATATATATATATAAATAATATTAAAAATAACCAAATGAATATAAATAAATAAAAAATATATGTATATATAATAATAATATATAGTGTAAAAAAATCAATTGAAAATCATTAAAAAAACATACGTTTATATATTTATATAATGACAATAATGTAAATAATAAATAAATAAAAATATACATACAATAAATAAAAGGATTAATATAAAGAAAAATAAAGATTGGGGCCAAATTTGAAAGACAATTAATGTTGATATTGCGCATTAGGGGGATAAAAAAATGAACACGCCTCAGGGTAGATCTAGGTTCGAAACCCCACCTATTTTTGGTCATCGGCGCAACCCACGTTTTGGGTTATTCGAACCAAAACTCAAGAAAAATATGTGCACATGCGAGAAATGAACGAATCAAAAAAATGCTACCTTTTATTTCCTTTTCGTATCATTTACAATAGCTTTGCCTTTGTATTTTCCGTGTTTTCCTCTGTATTTTGTTTGTAAATCGTCCCTTACAATAGTGAGTTACAATGACTATTTATAGTGCTTGTGGATCCTATCTTTAGGAGTTTAAATCATAGTAGAACTTTATCCTATTTTAAGGAGTTTGAATCCTAGCAAAATTCTATCCTATTTTTAGGAGTTTGAATCCTAGTAGGACGAAAAGGTGTGTTGACAGCTGCCCCTCTTTGCCCATAGTCGTGTAACGGGGATAGGGCAAAGATTAAAAGACACTTTTCGTTCGGTGGAGTTGAAAATTGACTCTGATGTTTCAATAACTCCCTGTCGAATTGAGTTACGGATGACTCCTCCGTCGTGAAGCTAAGTTCATCTTGAAATGATATGAAATTGAAGTCGTAGTTCGGAATTTGAATCAGCACGTGGCTTCTCGTTGCCCTTCGGTCTTCTTCTCGGTTTAAAGACCTTAGATCAGAATCAAACTGAGAAATCTTCATTGACATATAGCTTTTGCTTGAAAATGGTTGCTTGTCACTAAAGTACGGTTAACCCAGGTTCTCTTCTCGACTTGAAAACCTCGACTGCAACTGGAAAGTAGTGCGATTGATGTGTCATCGAGCTGAATGGAATCGAACTCGATAATTTTGATGGCAGATAACCCTTCTAGCCTTGAGTTATGCTGTAAATGATGTGCCTTGGAGCTGAGCGTAGTCGAACTCGAAGGTCTTTGTTGACAGATACTCCTTCTTTGAGTTGGATATCCTTCGTCGTGAAGTTGAAATCCAATCTAAAGATGGATGATGCTTGTGTGCACGATTTCCTTCGCCGTGAAGTTGAAACTGCGGGTAGCCCCTTCGTCGTGAAGTTGAGCTTGTGTTGTCTTGGGTCCAAGATCCTTCGCTGAGAAGTTGAAATTGGCTCTGAAATTGGGAAGTTGTTTATTGACAACCATCGGTCCCTTCGTCGTGAAGTTGAACTTGCGTTGTCTTGAGTCCAATATCCTACGCTGTGAAGTTGAAATTGGCTCTGAAATTGGGAAATTGTTTATTGACAACCAGTGGTCCCTTCGTCATGAAGTTGAACTTGCGTTGTCTGGAGTCCAATATCCTTCGTTGTGAAGTTGAAATTGGCTCTAAAATTGAGAAGTTGTTTGTTGACAACCAGTGGTCCCTTCGTCATGAAGTTGAACTTGCGTTGTCTGGAGTCCAATATCCTTCGCTGTGAAGTTGAAATTGGCTCTGAAATTGGGAAGTTGTTTATTGACAACCAGCGGTCCCTTCGTCGTGAAGTTGAACTTGCGTTGTCTGGAGTCCAATATCCTTCGCTGTGAAGTTGAAATTGGCTCTGAAATTGGGAAATTGTTTGTTGACAACCAGTGGTCCCTTCGTCGTGAAGTTGAACTTGCGTTGTCTGGAGTCCAATATCCTTCGTTGTGAAGTTGAAATTGGCTCTGAAATTGAGAAGTTGTTTGTTGACAACCAGCGGTCCCTTCGTCGTGAAGTTGAACTTGCGTTGTCTGGAGTCCAATATCCTTCGCTGTGAAGTTGAAATTGGCTCTGAAATTGGGAAGTTATTTATTGACAACCAGCGGTCCCTTCGTCGTGAAGTTGAACTTGCGTTGTCTTGAGTCCAATATCCTACGTTGTGAAGTTGAAATTTGCTCTGAAATTGGGAAATTGTTTATTGACAACCAGCGGTCCCTTCGTCGTGAAGTTGAACTTGCTTTGTCTGGAGTCCAATATCCTTCATTGTAAAGTTGAAATTGGCTCTGAAATTGAGAAGTTGTTTGTTGACAACCAGCGGTCCCTTCGTCGTGAAGTTGAACTTGCGTTGTCTGGAGTCCAATATCCTTCGCTGTGAAGTTGAAATTGGCTCTGAAATTGGGAAGTTGTTTATTGACAACCAACGGTCCCTTCGTCGTGATGTTGAATTTGCGTTGTCTTGAGTCCAATATCCTTCACTGTGAAGTTGAAATTGGGAAATTGTTTATTGACAACCAACGGTCCCTTCGTCGTGAAGTTGAACTTGCATTGTCTGGAGTCCAATATCCTTCGTTGTGAAGTTGAAAGTGGCTCTGAAATTGAGAAGTCGTTTATTGACAACCAGTGGTCCCTTCGTTGTGAAGTTGAACTTGCGTTGTCTGGAGTCCAATATCCTTCGCTGTGAAGTTGAAATTGGCTCTGAAATTGAGAAATTATTTATTGACAACCAGCGGTCCCTTCGTCGTGAAATTGAACTTGCGTTGTCTGGAGTCCAATATCCTACGTTGTGAAGTTGAAATTGGCTCTGAAATTGAGAAGTTGTTTGTTGACAACCAGCGGTCCCTTCACTGTGAAGTTGAACTTGTGTTGTCTTGAGTGGCACGATATCATCCGTCGTGGATTTGAAATCGTGGTTGTTTGGCTTCGAGCTAGATATCCTTCATTAAGAAGTTGAAATATACTCTCGAGCAAATTGTGAGTTCGAGAGAAACTTTCAATCTGTCGAGTTGGTCGAAGTGTAGCTTCTTGTTGCCGAGTTAAGCAACTAACATGAATCTTTAAAGGTGCTTTTGAATCGAGTATCATTCATCTTGAAGTCGAAACTTGACTCTAAAAGCTGCAAAAAATTATGTATGTGGAAAATGATAAATATGATGCTCTAAAATGTATGCATAAGATGCATGTAACATGAATTGGTTATATTTTATCTCCTGAAAAAGGTCTGATAATTTGCATTAGGATGTTGAATCCAAAAATGCCCCAATATTTGATGTTGAATCTTCAAAGATGCCCCAAATGTTCCTCATTTCTTGCTTCAGTATTGATTCTGAGCATGAGTTTTGTGTCTAAAAGTCACATGTCATTTACCAAGATCCACTCTAGAGAGACTGTCTTGTTTGAAAAGAATGTTTTTCTTTCTCTTTTATTTTCAAAGTTATGAAAATATCAATTAAAATAGTTTTGAAAAATGTTTGATCCAAAGTTTTGAAATTATTGTCACTTTCACGGTTTTACAATTGAGACGAATCATAAACTAGAGTTCATCGGATATCAAAGAATTAATTATATTGTTAATCCTTCAATGAATTATAGCTATTTGACAAGTGCCAAGATCAAAGCTATTTTTGGGAAGTGGTTAAGTAAGGAAATGATAAAAAAATCTCAGGTTATTATGTTTGGTCAAAGGTTTGGCATTTGATGCTCAAAGGTTTGGCATTTGATGCTCAAAGGTTTGGCATTTGATGCTCAAAGGTTTGGCATTTGATGCTCATAGGTTTGGCATTTGATGCTCAACGGTTTGATGGGGTAGCTTGCATGCTCCTCTACTGGAAGTGTTCTTTAACTCCCAACCTTCGTGGTCACACTCGGGTTGTGTGATGTCGTATCAAGGAATTTGTGTGATCGCCTTAGTTGCACAATTTTTATATTCGAGCCACCTTTTCAGGTTTTCAACTCAAACCCTCCTTTGGTTTCAAGACGTTATTCAGGATTTACGTCTTGAACCCCCCTTTGTTATTGTTCTCTACCATATATTAATTACATTGTTTTTTGCAAACAAAGATTAATCCTGATGGGCGGGATGAAATCTGAAGATAATCTCTTATGTTTAGAAATCCATGTATGATTAGAATGGACTTTTAAGGCACGTAATGTAGGTTATGGTTCATGGTTATGAAAGAAAAGGATAAATAGGCCCAAACAAGTGTTTCAGGGTGTTGAACCAAGGATCAATTCATTCTGATGCCTTCAATCATGTCCTGCTCAAAATGTCTCTCTCTTGATGCTCTATAATCTTCGAGTGAAGTGATTCAGTGATTCGAGAATGATTGTGCTTGATCAATCTCATAGTTTGAAGCTTGATGTGTCATTTCAAACAAGTGTTTCAGGGTGTTGAACCAAGGATCAATTCATTATGATGTCTTCAATCCTGCTCAAAATGTTTCTCTCTCTTGATGCTCTATGATCTTCGAGTGAAGTGATTCAATGATTCGGGAATGATTGTGCTTGATCAATCTTATAGTTTGAAGCTTGATGTGCCAATTTTTTAGGGAATCTTTGCATGTGTTTTTTTGTCCCTTTTTCTTTTTGATTTTTGTTATTGTTTCTCTTTTTTCTTTGTTTTTTGCTTTTTTGCTTCTTTTCTTTTTTGTTCTTGATTGGATCTTCGCACTTGCCATTTGGTCCACCTTTTGGTATCTCATCTGAATCAATGTCTTCGCTCATGTGAGCATATTTCTTCCACATTGCCCCCAGTGTGGAGGGTGATCCTTGGTTAGGGTTGAATCAGAAGAAAAATACTACAGGCTCAAAAGGGGACACAAGGGATATATTTTTTTCTCCTGTTGTGAAGGGATAAAGAAAGAAAGTCGTTCATCATTTCATACATGTAAATCTTCACAGAAGAGGTATCCCTAGGGGGATAGATTTTCAAGATTAATTTTATTCACATGAAAACAGTGTAATTAATGCATGATAGAATTATTTCGAATGAATTTCTTCTTTTTTTTCCAGATGTCTCAATGTTCAGGTTCCCCGCGAGATACCCCAAGTTGGTTCTTTAGAAGAATGCTCATGTTAAAATGAACAACTCAATGCCTTGGGTTTTAATGGTAAGAAAGGTTATTTTTGAGTCTAAAAAAGACAGTGGTATGATCTTATTGACTCAAAGAAAGGTGTGGGTGTATCAAAAAGATAAAGGTAATTTTCAAGAATTTCAAAGGGAGATAATGTCAAAATTTGGTCTTTTTGGTAATGACCATGAGTTATTTTGGGTAAAGAATCAAGGTATTTTGTTTTGGGGTTTGAGATAGGATAAGAAAAGTCTAACTTTGCCATATGTCAAAAATCTATAATTCTTGAAGAATTAAAAGAATCCTTAATTCATTTAATATTCGAAGAACTAAAGATTAGAATTTGTTCAATTGCTCCACCTTAGAAAGTAGCATAAATTCAATCATTTAAAAGATTAAGCAAAAGATGAAAGATTAGAGACGTGTTTAAACAAAACAATCCTCTAAGTGCAAATGGTATATGCCATGCCCCCTTCTTCGGCCGTTTATGCCCCTGAATCCATCAGGTTTTGGATCTTGCGCTTCAGCGCCTTATAGTTCTCAGAGGAATGTTTGGGGGTTCTTATGTGGTAACACCTAACAGCTTCAACATCATAGTCCTTAGGATATGGGGATTCTTTTCTTAGATCATCCTGGCCGGCTTTGTCCTACCATCAGCTGATCAAGCTCTTTAATGTTACAATCTTTCTTCCATGTGGTTAAATCTACTTCATCGAGTCCTCCATGACTTAATTTCATGTTTGTGAAAATGCTTGAAAATGTAGATGAAGATGTAAAAAGGCAAAAATGCAAAATGCAAGAATGCATAAAATGTTCGAGGCATTGATTTAGAAAAGTGTCCATTATTATAAATAATCTTTACTTAGACAAAAATGTTTTATCTTGTAAGAGACATAAAAACGATCAAAGGTACATTCGGACTAAATCCTCTAGACCCCGAACAGTTTCTAGTAGATTGACAAGTCTTCTGTCTTCATCTGTCACTGGTTGTATGCCTTGTCGGACCATTCCAGCTTCCCTTACCAGGCCGTGTAAATGACGAGCTTCCTTCTGTACTTGATCCAGGAAGTCTCGGATGACTGCGTCTCTGGCCTTCACCCTTTGTTGTGCTTGCTCCCAATGGAAACGCCACTGTAAACCTCCGTCAAAGAGCACTATCTGAAGCTCGCTCACTTTCTTCTTGAACCCATCTACAATAGCTTCTAACTCAGCTATTGTTTTGTCATCTATCTCATGTTGTTTCTCCAGATTAGCCATATGGATTCTCAAGCATTGGTTTTGATGCTGACTGTCTGCTAAGCGCCTCTGGGCAGTCTTCATTTGTTCCTTCCAAGCTCTTATATCAGGCCCTTCAAACTTTCTTTTCAGGCTATGAGCTTCGTCTTTACAGTATTCAGAAGCCACTTTCAACTTGAAGTTATCCTTGACTTTATCTTGATACCCATTTCTCAAGTCTTCGAGCTCAAAACAGACTTTTTTCTATTATTTTTCAAGTTTATCTGCTCGATCTTTCTGAGAGTCAACATCTAGCTTCCACTAATAGCGCTCAGCTTCAAGTTTCTTTACCCTCTGCTTCAGCTCGTTATTCATAGCTTCAAACTCTATCTTGGCTATCTCAAGTTCAAAAAAAGACGGGCCTGAGATGTTCTTCCAGGGTTCAGGTGTCCTCACAGTCTGGCACTGGGATATTGCCATTTTTTCTCAATCTTCGCCACTCCACATAGTCCGGAGTAAGCATGTTTCTGGCAGCTACAACATCCATCCGGAATACTTTCTTCCATGAATCGACTACTTCCTTGATCATCTTCTTATAGTTGTCACCGTGATACTCAAACTCTGATTTAGCTAGTCCGCATGTTGCTGGGACAAATTGACGTGCCCCATTATGTCTAAGTGCTAACAATGGAGCATACCCAACTGCATCCCAAAGTTCAGGTAAGGTCATAGTGTCAGAGTCCCCACATTGGAAAAGAACGTCACTGAGGAACAACCAGGGGGCTCTCCAAGTAATATCTCGGTCTTGATAGATGAGTGAAGACTTTCATCCACTTCTCTTTTGAAGTTCCTTCATGCCATTTCATGGTGATGAACTCTCTCAAAGGTGAATACGTAGTGCTAAATCGGCGGTAGGCAACCCAATTAGTCTTCCAGAAGTGGCTGTAAATCCATACTTGAAAGAGCTGAACACATCTAATGAATCTACCTCCGCCAGCTCTTCGGCAATGGTTGAGAGACCGAAAGGTTTCGGCTAAGATGGTTGGTGCTGGGTTGACTCGTTTCGGAAGTTGCTCAAACAGTTCCACCACGGCTGCGTCAATGCATCCCAAAATCTTCGGAAAGATGATCAAGCCATACAGACCTAGTGCAAAAAAGGTCTATAGTCTTCCATTCATCAGGGTGGTCATTCATTAGTTTCCTTATGTGGATCCACTGAATTCCTTGCACGTTACCTTTGTTTCAGAGTTGGTCAGTCACCCACTTTTCATCAACTCCTACAATCTTAGCCAGTCTGTTCTTGAAAGGCTGACTCTTGAAGTGTTTGATGTAGGCTCGCTCCAGTTTAATGCTTTCACAGTGCAATAGTGTAATATACTCCTCGATGGTAGGTACCATGTCCTCTTGGTTAAAAGTGAAGCAACTGTATCCCGGGTTCTAGAATTGAACCAAGGCTCTAATTAAGGGCTCACCGGTCTTAACATGAAGCAAAAGTGCAATGTCACCATACCACTGACTGAACTTCTATTTTCGATCATTCTTCCAACTGTCCCAGATGTCTCGAAGTTCTTGCACATTGTTCTGTTTTAGGCTGATAGAGGCATAGCTAACAAGCTCTGACACATAACTTCCTTGAAGACTGTCTCCCTTTTCTTTCTGAGTCTTCTCGGACCATAGTCGTACCTCGGGGTTTTAAATCTCCTGTATTACAACACCTTTGTCCATTAATGAAGATTATTTATGGTTAACAAACACGTTTTTTGGTGGATCACACCTCTTTTGAATGATGCAGATGATGGAAATAAAATAAAATAGAGGAAAAAAAATGAAAAGAGTTAGTAAGGTAAAGATAATAATCAAAGCAATCATGAAAATAAAAGTCCTACCCCACATGATATCTACCCCACATGCTTATTATTCCTACCCGGACATGATCTCTATCCCGCAAGTTGATTTTGAATAAGTCCTAACCGCATAAATTTCTAACTCACATGTTTTGAACAGAAAGTAAAGCAGAAAATAATTTTGGCATCATAGGGTTTAAAACGAGGTTTTGGGGTGGGTCCTAACTCCTTGTAGTCTCCGGGTTTAGGTTCTAAAAAAGGTACTCGAGTTCTCATTGCCGGTGCCCCCTTGGGCTTACCAGACCCTTAGTCCTAAACTCATCACAGGCTTGTGTGGACTAAGTTAAACTTGAGAGGAAATATTCCCTTATGCCCATACGGAGAATAAATTCACACGAAGGCATAAGGTATATGAATCCCGAAGGTTACTTGCTAGGCCCATACGATGAATAAATTCACACGAAGGCGTCGCTTTCACCCCCACTTAAAACGGGTTCGGAGCTCGGGTATAGAGCCTTTGGATGAAAAATCTTTAAGGGCTAAAATCATTAAAAAACGATCAGTACAACTATTTACTCGAAAATATAATCAAAAGTAAGTAATAAGGATCGAAATGTTACCTTAAAATTTAAACTTACCCTTTTCATTAAAAAGACAACTGGAAATTATCTTAGCGTGACTCACTTACCTGTGTCCCCAGCGGAGTCGCCAAGCTGTCGCAACCGTATTTCGGTTGGGCCCCGGAATTGGGCTTCGACTTGAAAAATATGGATTGGAGTCGCCACCGATCATTTATTTAAAAATAAATGGGTTGATCGGATACCCTATTTCTTACCTGATCTACGTCTTACCAGAAATATGTCGGGCTTGGGAGTCGGTTACGGTCAAGGAAGGATTAGCACCCTTGAACCGCCCTATCGGTACTACGTAATTTCCAGTTGTCTTAATTAAGAAAATTGTAATTTTAAATTAAAAGATAAAATTTGATCATTGATTACTTACCTCTTATTAATTGACGAAAATACCCTTAAAAGTCATAAGATGTGTTAGAGGGAAAAATGAATAAAAGAAAAATAATGAAGAATAAAAATAAGTAAAAAAATAAAAATAAAAGAAAAAATAAATAAATAAATAAATAAATAAATATTAATATATATATATATATATATGAGTAAAATAGAAAAATAAAAATCATAACAATAATGATAGTAATATGAAAATATAATATAATATAAACAAATAAAAAAACCAAAAACAAAAATAAATAAATATATAAATCAAATATAAAAGTATACATATAATGATAATTGGCTTATAAATAAATTATTAAAATATACATATACGTATAATGATAAAGTAAAAAAACTAAATAAAGATAATTACAATATATATATATATATATATGATAATAATACGCTTATAAATAAAATATTTTAAAAAAAGTATATATATATATAAATAATAATATTAAAAAAATAACCAAATGAATATAAATAAATAAAAAATATATGTATATATAATAATAAGATATAGCGTAAAAAAATCAATTGAAAATCATTAAAAAACATACGTATATATATATTTATATAATGACAATAATGTAAATAATAAATAAATAAAAATATACATACAATAAATAAAAGGACTAATATAAAGAAAAATAAAGATTATGACCAAATTTGAAAGACAATTAACATTGATATTGCGCATTAGGGGGATAAAAAATAAACACGTCTCGGGGTAGATCTAGGTTCGAAACTTTGAAATCCCACCCATTTTTTGTCATCGACGCAACCCACATTTTGGGTTATTCGAACCAAAACTCAAGAAAAATAACGTGCACATGCGAGAAATGAACGAATAAAAAAAATACTACATTTTATTTCCTTTTCGAATCATTTATAATAGCTTTGTCTTTGTATTTTCTGTGTTTTCCTCTGTATTTTGTTTGTAAATCGTCCCTTACAATAGTGAGTTACAATGACTATTTATAGTGCTTGTGGATCTTATCTTTAGGAGTTTAAATCATAGTAGAACTCTATCTTATTTTTTTGAGGTTACCCCCTACCACCCACAGAAGAGTAGATTGATGGCAGAGGTGATCAAGAAGATTTAATGTGTGGCCATGATATCTACGGTCATTATGGCCATGAATAGTAGTGAACCAAAAGGGGATTGTATTCTCAGTAACCACAACGTCAGTGTGGTGATCAGAAAGAGAGAGGAGGTACACCCTAACAGAAGATGTCCAGTAAAAAAATCAAGCCAGTACTAGTAGCAGAACTAGGAATTAAAAGATATCCATCCATGTTAAGAAGATACTTAATAGACTCAACCTGAGATCGTTGAAACCAAGATTTGCATACGAACAGAATGTCAAGACCTTTGTGAGCTACAATGAGCTCCAATGATCAAATTGTCTTTGGGTTCTCAAGCCCGCGGCAGTTCCAAAATTAAGATTTTCATAATGATTGACAAGGTTGTTCGCCAGACTCTGCCAAAGATGAAGTTGGTGTTGAGACATACACTGTAGATGAAAAGCGATGAAGAGGCCCTGGTCGTGTTAGGGCACGCTTGGATGGGCTAGGTGAATCATTAGTAAGTGACGCTGAGGATTGACACTTAAATTATCTCATACCTTTAGAGCGAGGCCCCGTTACCAAGCTTAGACATGCCATTGAAGGTGTTTGCCCCGCACCCTCCGTTGTGCTAGATGCCCCTATATTACCCTGCCTTGAAGGAACCAGATTAACTATTCCAGTGCAAGTCGGATTTTGTGCAACACCTAGAGGGTTGGGAACCCAAAACAACTCCCTAAATTGTGCAGGCTGATCCAATTCAGTCTCAATTTGAGGACAACCTGCAGTAACTTGTCTGATGATACCACATCGGAAACAAAAATTGGGAAATCTCTCATACTTAAGTAGATATAACCTTGGAGAACCATTCGTTCGTCGACCAAACACAAGAGAACGACAGATCGGTTTACCAATATCAATAACCACTCTGAGCCACAAATAAGAACCAATTATATTCCCACTATTTCCAAAGGCACTTCCTCCTATACTACCGCTTCCAGATCCTGTATATGCATTGGAACTAGCAGTATTTGTATAATAATAAAGTCCCCCATTTCCCCAAATGTTCCGGGTCACTGAGCTGAAAAAGGAAATATTACCTCCACTACTTCCATCATACCCAAAAGGACTACCTTATCTATCTGTATTACCAATATAATAAGGGCTCAATACCCGTACATAGTTCATATTACTACTAAAACTTGCACCGATTCCAAAACTTGAGTTTAACCCTGGCTCAAAGTTCATGTCCAATCCATAACCAGAACCAAAAGGAGGAAAAACACTTCGACCACCAGCGACTGTACTGAATCTACCATAACCTCCAACATCTCTTGGAGCATATCCCTGACTTTAGCCATTAAGAAAGGTGTTGAACCTATTCAGGTAATAGTTATATCCACCAAGGGGGCTATGACTAGGACCAGGTTATAATTCTTTGGGAACTGCTCATTTAACCTCGACCATTTTACCATTCAGTTCATGGAAATTTTTTAGCAGCACTTCATCCACTGCCTCTTCTGTATCATAAGTTACGAATCCAAAACCCCTAGGCCTTTGGGTATTGTGATCACACATCACTACCACATCTGTGATATTCCCAAATTGATCAAAATACTTCTTAAAGTAACTCTGTGACCGTAGACGCTAAACCTCCTACAAAAATCTCCCTGGATGCTACTAGCGCTTCTACTCATAATGTTCTGGTCATCCCTAGGAACTGCCTTTTTTGCCTAGACCTGAGCACAAGTGATCCAATGATCAAAAGACTAATCTCAACTCTCTTAACATAAAACATTATACTAAATTACGAAAATTACAAACATAACCGATATCATTACAAGGAAAAAGATCAGAGGCATGAAATTATTTCTCTTTGCTTAATTTTGAAATAAAGATGGACAGAATCAGAATTATGTGAAGTCCTATGATTTCAATATCGGTTCATGACTAGGATAAGGAATCGAATTTTCATCTTTTGCTTCAATAAGCTAAATGCATCAAAGAATAAACACTACATTGGACAACATTAATCTAAAATGCTTTGTATAAAAACCAACAACTTACCATCCTACCATCAATATTGTGTTTCTCCTTGACGACTTCCTCAGCAACAGCGGGGTCAGATAAAACAATAAAACCGAATCCTCGAGCACGCCCTGTGGTCCTATCCTTCATGATCACTGCCTCTACCACTTCACCAAAACTACTGAAATGCTCCCTGAGACGCTCTTCATTGTTACCCCAAGATATTCCACCAATAAATAGCTTAACATTCTCGGACATCTTTCTCTGCATTACAGAAAAACTAGTTCATCTAAACAATGTCCAAACTATCCGCAAACGCAAATGAGAATACAAACTTCAACATAAAATGTCCAAATTCATTACCAGATCCAATGCAAGACAAACATTTCATCGAAATAACAGCAAAAAGTAAACCAATCAAAACCGATTACAAAATTATTCGGATACAAAATGAAAACTTTCTCCCTGATTCGAAAGTAGAAGCAAACAGTTCCTTCGACAACCAATCCACCTACTATCACCGAATTTAACGTCACCTGGAATCTAGAAACGAAAAGGCAAAAGCAATAACAGAACCCCAGATAGATGATCAGTCAGGAACCCGATATTGTTGTAGGAGTTTATTGGAAATTTAAGCGACAGGTGAAAAAAATTAATCTATAAACTTTAAAATATTATATATCAATCATCAAACTATCAATTTCATTCTATTACGATCCTTATGTTGATGTGTTATTAACTCTAAAAGTTTGTGAAGGTCTTGATGATTGAACCGGTAATATTTGAAAAATTAATCTATTTTTGAAGGTTATAAAAATCGAAACCATGACCTTTTAAAAAAGTTAATATATTTTAGATTTTTTCTATATATTTTATAATGAAAATCTATTTTTACCCCTTAAATTTAAGTTCGTCCTCTAACATAAAATCATGTGGATGCTCCTGACCATTGTCAACGTTCATTTTGAAGATTTGAATGCAATTTTTGCATTAAAATAATAAAAATCATTAATTATTTAGCTTACTCGATCATCACTAACCCTAAACATAATATTCATAAATTAAATTTAAGTTTTTCCCCTTCAAATATGCCTTCAGGAATCAATGGCGTGGTAAGAGTTAATTGGTGCATGTGATGGTAGAGGTTTTAGAATTGATTCCATTTAAGCTCCTACTAATTAGTTTAAAGAGATGATGTTGTCATTGGAAATTAACCTGTGATTAGTATATTTCCGTGTTTATTTAAAGATAAGTAAACATCTATTTTCATAATTACAAATTCAGAAACCATGAAAAGCAGAGTATATATGAACACTCAAGCAAACTCCCAATACAAAAATATAAGATCAAACCCTGAAATTACTTCACAGCTAAGGTGTATTGTGCTTCTTCATTAATATATATATATATATATATAACGGAGTACTTAAAATAATATTTATGAATAAAATAGATATATTGAAAAATAAATTAGCATACATCAACTTGGGTAGGGATGATAACATTGACCTCAAAAATAAAAAAATATATTAAAGTTTGTACGAGATATGATAAAATCTTTAATAATTTTGATAAGAAAATACAACCCGTTAAATGAAAAGACAAAATTTTGAGTTTGTAAAATAATATGCAAAATAAAAAAAATTGATGTTGATCAAGTTGGTGGATAGTAAGCGGGGTGTAAAAGCAAAAAAATTGAACAAAAGAAAAATAAAAAAAGGGAGAAAAATGAAAAAATTTAAAAATGAAAGAAGAAAGAAGATAAGAAGGAATTTGTTGACAGTGGCCATTAACGATGACGATCCACGAAGTAAAAAATCAAACGGAAAACATTTAATATTATTATAGTTTATTAATCAATTAGTTTAAATTGGATATTATAAAGATTTTATTTTTTAAAAATAACTATCTAGCTCAGTTGGTAGAGCACAAGGTTCTTAACCTTGATGTCGTGGGATCGAGTCCCACGGAAGGCATTTCATAATTCGGAGGTCTTCTACGGAAGCTGCTCTCAACTTGATGTTAGGGGCAGCCTACTATCTTACCTCCCCCTTACCCCATTACATATGGGAACAATGTACAATCAATCTATTTTATTTATAATATTAAAATTTAAGCATCTAATTTTATTTAATAAATTTAATATCAATCCCATCAAATTAAATAATGGATTGTTTGATATAATATCTTGAGTAAATTACATCGTTCTTCATTGACTCTCTCTTATTTTACTTTTCGTAGTTTTAATTTTTTTAATTTATTCATTGAACTTTTTCAGATTGAATTATTTTACTTACTTTATCGTTAACATTATGATGACGTGTCATTTATTATTGTTATTTAGTATAAAATAATTGAAAATATAAAGGGTAAATCATATTGTTCTTCATTGAACTTTACTCTCTCTCTCTCTCATTTTGCTCACTCAATTATAAAATAAAAACAGAAGGTGGTTGGATGCCATTGCCGACCACCATCGAATGATATCGACCGTCATATATGGTGATCGTTCGATCTCAAATTTCATGGGTCGCTTCGCGTTAACACCTTGAGTTCAAATTTGACCTCTATTTTGTCGGAACTTGCTCCGAATCCCATGAATTGGGAATTGAAAGTGAGGGAATCGAAACATTTCAGTCGAGATTAAAAAAATTTATGACATTTTGAAACAACCACCATATTCGGACTCAAGGGGTCGAGATGAACAGACCCACAAATTTTGTGACCGAACAACTACCATCTACGACGGTGACGGTGGCAAAAGAAGAGGACTCGAAACGATATCGTTTTAATATTTGAGTTTTACAAAAACGATGTCGTTTTGATGCTTTTGTCACGTCATAACATTGTTAAAATATTAGCAGCAGATTAAATAAAATAATTTAATATGTAAAGTTTAGTAAGTAAATTAAAAAAAATTAAAAATATAATGAATAAAATAGGACGAACAATGTAATTTATCCTAATATTACAATTTTAATAATTGACGTTAAACGGAGGAAATAAAAGGTGGGCAGCAGTCATGGCATGTCTAGGCATGAGGTAAGCCTAAGCCCGAGCCACATGAATCTTGTCCCGAGTTTGTATTTTCTTCAAAGAGGGTCACGATAATAGAACTTCTTTCAAAACAAGCCATATGGGCAAATATAGCCAATTTTTAAAATTTATCAGTAATTGTTTTGTAACAGTAATTATATTTTTATCAGAGACGGTAGTAATTTGAGGCTTGAGATTATCCTTTTTTAATAAAAAAAAGATTGATTTTTGTGAGGTCTGGGGAAGGTAAAAGACAAAGTTGAAGGCTAAATGTGTTTTGACTGACCCACTTTGGTTACTGCTACAGTAATTTAATGTAAACCCTTTGACAACAGTTTACCTAATTTCATATACATATTTGTTGTTTTGCTCCCAATATTCAAGAGTTAATGTTGGAGGGTCACCATCAGTAGGGGCCAATCTTTTTTATTTTGACGTGGTGGAATTGATTCATAAACTTTGCTTTTCCTGCATTCGCCATTTTATACTTAATTCATTGGACGGTGCAGATCGTCGTGTCTATCTAATTTTCTCTTTGATCCCCGTCAAAGTCCATCATGTTTATCTTCAACCTCCCTCTTCTTCTTCGTCTCCGAAGCTTGTAAGGCTCTGAATCAGCCATGGATTTGGACCTTGAAAAGCGTGGCAAAAGAAGGAAAGCCACGAAGGAAAACGATGAACAACAACGGCCGACGGCGATGGAAACTCTTCCGAACGAGATCATCGTCGACATACTCTCGAGGCTTCCGATCACGTCCTTGGTGCAGTTCAAGTTCGTATGTAAGCGATGGCGTGCTCTAGCTCAAGACCCTGTTCTCGCCGATATGCATCTCTCGTTGAAAGCCGATGGAAATGATTCCTGCCTTATTCTTCACTGTGATTTTCCTATACGAAACCAGCTTTATTTTCTGGATTTATCGGCTTACAGTCAAGATAAAGAGAAGGTAAAGAGGTTATATGTACCTTTCCAAGCTACCATGCCTGAATTTGATGTTGTAGGGTCCTGTAATGGTTTGTTATGCTTGTCTGATTCATTATACAACGATGCACTTTATGTCCACAATCCTTTCACCGTGGATTACACCGAGCTACCGAAATCTAGACAGTACACTGATCAAGAACTCGTTTTCGGATTCGGATTCCATCCGAAAACGAATGAATACAAGGTAGTTAAGATAGTTTACTATAGGAATACTAGTAGTCATAGTTACAGTCGTGCCCGGAGAACCGTTTATTCGCAATCGGATGTTCAAATTTTCACATTGGGAAGCTCTTCATGGAGGAGTCTAGGGAAAGTGTCGTATCAGTTCGTAAGGCGGCTTTCGGAGGCGTTGGTTAACGGAAGGCTTCATTGGGTGAGCAGGCCTAGGCGGTACCATCCGGCTCGTCGGATTGTGTCGTTCGACTTAGCCGATGAACAATTCCGGGAAGTCCCGAAACCGGATTGCGGCGGTCTCAATAGGTGTAACTTTCATCTCTCTGTTTTACGAGGTTGTCTTGCCGTAGCTGTTTATGGGAATTATGGTAAGTTGGAGATATGGATCATGAAGTGTTACAATGACAAGGAATCTTGGGTTAAGGAGTTCACAATTGGAGCTTACACCCCCAAGTGTTTGAAGCTAAATTTCGATCGAGATAGACCGTTGAAGATATGGAAGAACAACGGCTCCAACGGTAAAGCCGTCCGAGTTCTTTGCTTGCTCGAAAACGGCGAGGTGTTGCTGGAGTATAAGAACAGGGTTCTGGTGTCTTATGATCCAAAGAAGGGGAAATTCAGAGAGCTTGCGGTTCAGGGGATACCTAATTGGTTCCAAACAGTTGTTCATACAGGCAGTTTGAATTGGCTTTGATTGTGAGTTGGTTCGGTTCATCTCTTTTAGTTATGCATTTCAATGCTTTGTTTGTACTTGTTCAATTCAGCTTTGTTTCTTACATTGACACACCTCATTGTCATTTATGAACATTATAGATACAATCCAAATTTGGCAATAAACAAGTAGGCATTCAATGATATAAAACCTAATTCAAGAAGAAAAAAACCAAAATGGACTGCCATGTGAACAGAGTTTGTGAAGCTCCAAACTCACCTGCATTTAATAATAATCAACAACTTGCAGGTAACCAAATGGCATTTGTTTTCTTGTTTGAATTAACTCTGAATCGTCCTTCGCCATGAATTTAGATTTAGTTCATCAAAATATGGGATCTTTTGAATCTTGAAGAAGAATATACTTCATTTTTTTACCGATCGGAAGTTGAAAAACATTGCAGTAAAGTCCCAAAGGGGCCTCTAGTGGCACATGATAAAGAGAATGAAAGATTCCCTTCAAAATGGGAATCTTCACCCCGTCCAAGTCTTCTCAAAGTAACAATCATTTCCTGTGTTACTTCGGGGTGTTAGATTTGAATATGTATTCGATCGTACATGAGATTAAGTGAAACAAAAGCATGCACCAAAAAGATACACGAAAAGACTTGCACTGGTGAGTGGTGAGCAGCTGCAAAGCTTCAAAAGGTCATATCATGCGGAGCATTTAGCAGTTAATATATTTGCAGGACCACAGCTGTGAGAAAAAAGAAGCCTAAGAAACTCACCAGCGTCCTATCGCCCGTGATCTGTTGGCAGACTATAAATCTTGCACATGAGCTGATGGGCATGGCATGGCCCCCAGTTGGATAGCCGATACCTTCATAGGGTCTGCCTCTAGTTTTTATGTTTAGCCTTTCGGCTTCACCCAGTACTTCCAATGAATCTAGGGGATAATGACGTTGTTTTTGGTTCGAGTTTAATGGCGAATTAGTGTTTTACTTTTTGAACTTTTAAAAGCTTGATGGTGCGAAGTCTGTGTTTCTTTATTTTAATGCAGCCGAATACTACTTTTTCTTTTGTTCGATTATGAGAGCAACAGTAAGTAAAGAAAATAAAATGTGAGAAATTATATTTAATTCTCCATAATATTGGTAGGGAGGTTCATAATTCGGTTAAAATCGAATGATTCAATCAAATTAAAATTCTTTTTAATTAATTGGTCTGTTAATTTTAGATTCGATTGGTTAACAGTTAATAGTTATTTTAAAATTTGGTTATCGGTTAATTAACCAAATTAACCGAACTAACCAAAATTATTAATTATTATATATATTATTTAACTTTAGGGATGTTTAATTTCGGTTTTAATAAATTAACAGACCAAATTAACCAAAAATATTTAATATTTAATATACAATATATATTATTTATAAATTTTGATTAATTCGATTAACCGATAAAATTAACTGAACTTAATTTAATTCGGTTATCAGCCACAAAAAAAAAAAACTCAATTAATTCGCTTAACGGTGATGCCATAATTACCCTTCAAGTAAAACGAAACCCTAGGTATAACTAGATGAAACTCTAATCTTACATCATGGTGATGCCATGTTTATGTCAATTAATGAAATCAAACTTTTATTCAAGTAGATAATCCTCGCACAAGATAATAAAAACAAAGCCATTAATAGACGCATATGTAAGTAGATAAATAAAGAGAACACTCAATATCTACTACATGGGCAACTAAAACAATGCTTTACACCTGGATGGACCTTAGGGGTTGAAATATATATTTTAAATAATATTTTTTATTGATAATTTATTTTTGTTCTTAAAATTTTGTAAGTTAATTTACTTAGAATATCATTAGTTTACCTTATATCATAAAATCTTGCATCCGTCCTTATTTCACAACCTAGACACCATGATGTTTATTATGATTAATGTATCGACAAATGGTCCTTCAACACCATACAGATCATCGCTTATGATCGTGTAAGGTGACCTAGCTCTGCCCACCAGTGATCCTCAAATGCTCCAACACAAGTTTTTCACCAGTCAGCTGCTCAACCAATCCTTGCATTCCAAAGTGTATCAACAAAAGCAACAGTGAGTCCAAGAGGCTTACTTGGTCTACGCTAACAAGTCAGGGATTCGAATCTTAACATTTACGACCCGAGCTGCCACAGTTATCCTAAATCAACAATAGTGTTGAGATTAGTACCATTAGTATAATGTCGACAGTCATGAAGCCCAACTCTTAAATCAGCATCCCATGTGTTGCTGAACTCATAGGCTTTATCAACAGCATCCCCTTCACTATATCCAACAAACCAACACCTGCTCCTCGGCAGCTTCCTTAACTTCCTCGTAAGAACAACACCTATTGCAAGTGTTAATAACATGGAGGAGAAAGACATCCCAACATTTTAACTAAAACACAATCAAATGTTATGTTCTTTGCTTGGTTCCAAATCTGGTACATTGATGAATTGTCAAAGAATTTAAGTAAAATTCTGCAAGAACTAATTGCTAACCTGGTACTGCTCTACCAGATAGAACAGCAAGTGCTGTGTATATGTCCTCTGGATCTTCTGGTTGAAAATCGAAAGCAATGGCCTACACAGCGGAGGAACCATCAATTTAAGAATGAGATCCAAAATTTTATTTAAAAAATAATAATGGGTATGTAATATTTTGTCTTAACACATTAAGTTAAATTTAATCATTTTTTTCAAAATAATAGAAGGCACTTGGCCGCTGCCGGGACTTAGCGCATCAGCCCTGGGCCTACACTTAATCTCAGTAGGTTCAGATTCAATAGCCCTAAACTCATAAACAAATATCATAAAGATAATGAAGAATGTTCTAGCTCCTACTGAAAGAACAGTAAGAACCCGGAAAAGGAAAAGGAAAAGGGAAGGAAATTATGGGGATGATGAAGAGAAAGGAAACCTGGGAATTGAGAGGAGGAGAAGAGGGTTTAATGATGACCATGAAATGCTGCAAATCCCAGACGCTGAGGGAGTAAGCAGCAGACATGAAAAGCTGGGCTGCTCCCTTCGTAGCTCTTAGTGCCACTGCTGCCACATAAACTTCATCTTTGCCTCTTGTCAGAGTAGATTTTGTGAATGAAAGACCTGACATTTTACGATTGGATAATGGCAAAGGAACCGTATTAAAAGTACCTTAAAAGAGATGAATACGAGTACCCACTCGAACAAACACGGTCCAGCCTTGATGGGCCTCCAAAAATATAAACAAATTATCTTGGGTTAATCTTATTCGGTTTATCTTCAACTTTTATTTTAATTATATTTGCATTATTTTATCAAAAACAATTATAGTATCTGCATTATTTTTAGATTTGTTTCGGTTTAAATTTAAATATATTTTAATTATTTTTTCCATCCGGTTCCAAGGCTTTGCCTTGACCAATTCTGATCGACTTATGTCACACACCTAACTTTAGTAGATAAGTCTTTCAACATGAATTTTCCACATACACAATGACTAAAACTCGAGAACTTGCTTAAGAAAGATCAATATTTATTTTGGTCACCCTGACACCTACTCCTCAATAATATAAAAAGAATCAAGAATATATGTACAAAGAAATATTAGAGTAATTGTCCATATATATATATATATATATATAAGTGGTAATAATAATTATCCGAGGTTAGATTGGATCGGAGATTTTTATATTAAATTCGAATTCCCTCCAACTATAATATAAACTATATGGAGTACAATACGTAACTTACAAAAACATTTGATCACGGCAAATGGTCATGTGATGAGTGACCACATTGTGTACCAACTTCAAGAGAAGAAACCATGTTGCAAATGAGGATGGAAGATATCAGATTTTAAACAGCACATTCATGTGCACTAAATCACATCAAAGAACAAAAACTTATATCGGATTTTGGGAGTATTGGAGCTATAGTAAGAACTTAAACAATGAACAAAAGTGAAACAAAAGGACTAAGATTTATTATAATCAAGAGATTCAAGACAACATGCAGACTTGACACACTGCCTTTTGTAATAAAAACAAACAGGCAAAACCAAAAAGACTTGAAGCAAACCTGGTCTAAGACCCAATAAACCCATCCCTTTGCAAATTGAACATGAAACTATCACCCTTTTGGCATACGCAATGCATGTCAGTTCAACCATTTTGCAAGTTGCTATCGGTTGGGCTTCGACCATCCATCCTTATTGAACTACATAGAAAAACTAGTTGACTCGTCAACATGCAAACCTAGTCATCACTTGAAAAGGCTTCCATTACTCGGTCTTCTTTTCTGGTTCAGCTTCTGCTGGTTTTGCTTCTTCTTCTGCCTTATCAGCTTCCTCTTTGGGTGCTTCGATAGCGACCTCTGCCTCTGGTTCAGCTGGTGTCTCACTAGACTCTGTAGTTTCTTTGGTTTCAACGGTTGGCTCAGTGGCTTCCTTGCTCTCCTCTACTGCTGGTTCTGCCACTGTTTCCTTAGGAGTCTCCTCCACTTGCTCCTCAGTCACAACCCCGGAATCTTCTACCACCTTTTTTGTTCCATCTTCAACTGAGGCTTTGGATTCTTCTATCACCTCTTTGGTTTCATCTTCAACTGAAGCTTCAGCCTCAGTAGCCACTGGTTCCTCGGCAGCCGCCGCTTCCTCTGCAGCAGGCTCGGCTTCCTTTGGCTCTTCCGCAACAGGAAGCTCCGTCGCAGGAGCGTCGGCGATTACCTCTTCGGCTGTGATTTCTTGCTCCTCAACTCTTTCTTCAGTTTTCTCCTCATGTTGTGCAATTTGAGCCGACACAACCTATAAAACAACATATAAACCATAAAACCAAGTATTTGAAAGATGAAATCTAAAAGAAAGCGATGCAGGAAATGGGTTTCCGATAACAAACGTTAAGATCATGATCGTTTGCTTCAAACAAGACCAGCTGATGAATGAACACAAGGGAGCGATAAACAAAGCTTAAACGGAGTGCTTAATAAGAAATTTGATACCTCAGCAGTAGCCATAGGAATCCCAAGGAGATGTGATTAGAACTAGGAAGAAAATTTCGGAAGGAGAAGAACAGAAGATTACTCTAGTTCTTGTGTTTGTTGGGCATGGGTGAATGAAACCAGAATCGCTTATATAGAGATAATAGAGGGCTTAAAAGTTGATGAGAGGTGGTGGGTGCCATTGAAGAATCTTGGATTTGACAACTCATGAGTACAAGGTAAATCACTCATTAGCTTATCTGGCAAAGGCTTTTCAAATTTAGAACAGAAACAGGTGGTGGAATTGACTACATGTGCTAATCACAATTAAGAATGGAAAAAAGTTGAGCCGACCATGCCACAAAAAGGTGCAACCAATGGGTGCAATTTACTTGAAAGGAACGACTCAAATTCTGAAGTGGCAGGAACACTTGGACCGTGACTTTCACCTCTTTTTCTGGGTTGAAAAATAGTCCCATGGGGACATATCTTCACGTTATTTTTTCAGCTATCTATTTGCTGTGTGTTGTTGTAGTTTTGTTGATCACCTAGGCTCGCTTGGCGTATATCTATTGTTGAACTTTGATTTAAAGAATGCCTCATCATCTTCATTTCTCAATTACCACATTTATAACATTTTACAATACCTGTTAGAATATTCTTAGCTGAATCAGTTACATCAGAATATCTTGCTGGCATATCCTTCCTAACAATCAAATAACAATCTATTTGTTATTCACTGCTCATAATATTTAACATTCTGCAGTTTCTGCAGTGGATTTGCTAGTTTCTGCAGTGGCGGTGGGGATGGGGCCCATCGCCATGGAACCCACGTGGGGACATGCTGGCGTGGAAGCACAGACCATGTGAGATGATGATTTCTTTCCTCTCGTGCCATTATTTGGGTTTTATTTGGTGATTTCCATGAGGGGGTTTGTTGGGGCCCACACCAATACATGCATGAATTTGATAAATCCTCACATACCATACGATAGATGAGATGAGATATACAGTAAATTATTCGAGATATAATCGGTCATTACTCGATAAATATTAAATTCGAATGAATTTGAGTTGAGCTCGAGTTTGACTCGAATTTTTAAAGAATCGAAACGAGTTACTTGATACTCGATTCAAAAAGTTCGCATGTAACTAGAAAAAATTATATATTAAATTTTTATTTTATAAAAAATAAATTATTAATAATATTAACATTTAAATATTTATTCTTTTAAAAAAATTAGTAGAAGATTTTTATGTACTTAAAATTTATGTTCGAGGTTGAGTTTTAGCTTCAACATAGTTAAGTTTAAGATTTGTTTATTTCGAGCTTTGACAAGCTTTTTCAAGCTTCAATTTATAGTTTTTCAATTCGAATCAAACTTGAAAATTTAGTAATACTGAAACTCGACTCAACTTAATCACACCCTACCTCTACCTTTCAACGGAACCATGGTCTGTTCTTATATATTTTTTATAAAAATGCTTTAGTTATTTTCTTTTTTGATTGTTCTTCTGGTTTCAATGTTTTATTTTGACTAATTTGGATCAACCTGTGTCGCAGACCTGATTTTAGTAGCTGAGTCTCCCGACATGAATTTTTTACATACACAAAGACTCAAACTCGAGACATTGCTTAAAAAATATCAAATTACTTATCACTTGAACTAACTTCTCTTGGTAATGTTTTAGTTATTTAATTTACGCATTTAATAATTTATAAATTTTTAGCACTGGGACGTTAAATGTAATTGATAATGTAGTACATTATTAAAATGAGTTAACTTTTAATTTAAATCTTAAAGTTTAAATAAAATATTAGTTTAATTCTTAAAATTTAGATAAAATCTCAATTTATTCATGAATTTAATCAAAGTCTCTCTTCATCGACTATCGTTTATCACTGTAAACACCATTTTTCAACACCAACACCTACCACCCTATTTTTTTTCAACACCAACACCCACCATCACATTTTTTTTCAACACCAACCTCATCATCCCTTGTTCCCTGCGAGAATCAAGGCATAACCAACTGAAAATCATTGTAAATCTGGCTATAAAAGCCAAATGCATGTAATCAAAAAAAGGAGGGGGAATTTTCTATCCGATTTTTCCATAGAAATACAAGCATTTTAAGGGTGAATTTTTTATTTTCGTATTCAAATACTGCTTTTTTTACTCTATGCTATTACGAAAAAAAACTAAAATAATTTAGAATCAGAGGGAAAAGAAATAAAAATCAGATTATTCCAAGGTATTTTGAATATTTTTTTAGTTTCGAATCTAATATATTTTTTTTGAAGCTTTGCATGTACAATAAGAAGGAAAGAGAGTGAGTAGATTATTATCTTAGAAGAGTGTCGATCGGGGTGGTTCGCAGTGGTGGTCATGGTGGTTCATGGCCACTGATCGTTTATTCCATGAAGTAAAAATGAAATAGAAAAAGAGGGAGAAAGTTGAGAGAAATAATAAATAGAAGGGGAGAGGAAAATGAAAACCAATGCGCAGAAATGATTCTGGGAGGGGAAAAAGTAAATTTATTTTGGGTTTTGGGTTAATCATGTGTCAAGTCATCCATTTTTAATATGTTTCATGTTTTAGTTTAAGTGTTAGGGTAAATATCATAATATGTCCTCATAGTTTTAGCGTATTTTGCATTTAGATCATTAATTTTAGGTTAAATCACTTTATTGGTCCTTTAAGTTTAATGTGATATGCGTTTTAGTCATTTTATGGTTAATCGTGCCTTAGGTCCCTTCAAGTTTAGCGTTTTTTTGTGTTTTGGTCACCATTTTCTTTTATTTTACATGATTTACGAATTGGCTACTTTGTTTTGTATTATTTTAATTTAGTCCACTATTGTATGTATTATTTGTGTTCGAAATGGGGTACTGATGTTTATGTTATTCCATTTTAGTCCTATATTTATTATTTTATTACGATTCTAGTGCTCTTGTTATGTGATTTTCTTGTTTCATGCCATGATATTTATTTTTATTAATGTTTATAATTTAAAATTATTTTTCACTCATTTTTGTCACTAAGATATTAATGAATATATATGTATATTGTTTATTTGTACTATTAAAGTATGTTTATGTTTTAGGTATTTATTTTACTTATATTATTATATACTTACTTTATATACATAATATTGTATGTAGAGCACGATAAATATTATATTTATATTTTCATTATATTTAGAATAAATATTATGTCATATGTTTAATATCATATTTAGAAAATATGTATCTATTTATAAAGTAAAACAAAGTTAAAATTAACCTTAATGTGTGTATTTATTTTTTAAATATATCAGTGTATCATATTTTATTATGTTTAAAAATAACCTTAGACTTTTAAATCTTTTAGATCCGATATTTTAATTCTTTGACATGTTTATTCCCCGAACTACGTTTAGACTTTAAATATTGACATAATTAAATAGGTTAAATAGAGCTTTCATTTTAGCTTAGATTTCAAAGTATTCTTTTAATTTAGGGGATAATTCGAGTTGGCCCTCGCGTAAACGCTCGAGGGACCATCTCGATTATTCGATTTAATAATTATTTAAAATCAAACATGATTAATACTAGAGCCTACATTTTTAGATTTGAGCCCCCTAGGTTCTTTAATTCTCATAATTTGACACCGTAGGTTAGAAAAGAGCCTTAATTAAATTTTAGTATAATTAGGATTAAATAAAATTTTGCTTGAACGCATTATTTTTATAAATCTAAGGCATTGTTCACTTATTAAGGAATTAATAGTATATCTCCCGCGATCATGCTCAGGGGGTAACTACTGGTAATTCCCTAAATAAGTCGACATCCTTTTAAAAACCATATCATGTTTAAAAAAAATGAGGTAATGTTCGGTTATTAGACACAATAGCTGATCTCCCGCATTTACGCTCGGGGGCGAATGCTATCGGTCTCAATAAACGAATATCCTTTTCAAACTCTGCATCCTTAATGATTTTAAGTTAAATAAAGATTGAATTCAAAATTTCCAATTTTAAATATAGGGTAACCAACTAGGTACTAATTTTTGGGCGCTTGTAGGGGTGCTAATCCTTCCCCACGCGTAACCGACTCCCGAACCTGATTTCTGGATTTGTGCAGACCCCAAAACTTAGTATTTTATTAGAATAAAATATTTTATTAAAATCACCCAGTTTTTTATGGTATTCCAATCTCACCTTAAATGATTGGTGGCAACTCCTCACATTTGAAACGATTTTCAAAGAGAAAACCACGAGTCGATATCGGCCTTTCCCAGCCCGGGCGAAAAACGGTGTCAACAGCTTGGCGACTCCGCTGGGGAGTTTTGTTTTTAAAACAAATTGAGAGTCGAGCCACGAGTTGGTTACCATGTATTTACTATTTTGGAAATTACGGTTCGATCTTATTTAATTTTCTATTCATTATCTTATTTCAAAAAAAAGAAAAAAACTGATTTCACTCTGGTTAATGCTTACATTTTTGTGAATATTTAGGATATTTGCATATCATAGCTCTAAACTCGAGCTCAAACCTAGTTTACCTAAGTAGGGAGAAACATCACACCTCACAGGAGCATTGGGCTTCCTTGTATGGGTCTGATAAAGTATCTCTGGAAAGTACCCTAAGTTGCCTATCCGGATATTGGATCTGAGGTACGCTTTTAGTGGTGTGATCCCCTGAGCTGAACCTATTCGTAAGTCTGTAACGGGCCAGAATCGGGGGTAACCTTAACAGGTTGGAAAGATGGCTTGGGAACCTTCGTTAGAACCCAACCTCATATAGAAAATTTAGTAAGCCTACCCCGTTAGAGACATGTGGTCAACCTAGGAGAATTAGATCGTATGAGACTAGGATTCTTAATTTTTTGTGATTATTTTACGTTCAAACTTTTAAATATTCATTAATCTTTCCTCGATTCTTAGTGATTTATTCTAATGTCACTAACTTTTTGCTTTGTTTTCTTGATTGCATGTATCATTATCATATAATGTCATTTCATAAATGATATTGATTCCCAGATTACCTAGTTAGTATAAAAAAGCTTAAGGCAGCATTGTCTTTCGATGGGACTAAGAATGCAATCAGTGTTCAGACCTGGGCTGAATATGGGCAGACGCGGTTCGGGGACAACCTTGTTAGTACTGAAGATTCAGTTTTTCCGGAGAAGGTGATTATTTGAGTCAAGCAGGCACATTGGGCAGAATTATCAAGAATCTGGTCTACATGGGACGATAACGAAAAGACTTTATTTAGAGAGACATATGGCGATATCGTAGAGCTACTAAGAGTGCCAGTAGATTCAGTGGTGATTCGAGCCTTAGCCGAGTGTTGGAATCCAGCTTACAGGTGTTTTACTTTCGGTAAAGTAGACATGACCCCTACTTTGGAAGAGTATACAGCTTTGATGAATATCCCGAATGTTAGAAGACATTCCATTTACACCAAGGCAATTCGACCTAAGGGGTTCATAACTAAAATGATCACACTGACGGGAAAGACCAAAGAGTGGGTCGAAGAGTACATTCGTGATGAGGGGATCTCTTGGGCTCAGCTGAAGAGTTTGATTTTTGAGCAGACTCCATCAAAAAGAAGAAGAGATCACTTCGCACTTGCAATATATGGCCTGGTAATTTTCCCCAAGAACGAGGATCACTTTGACATTGCCTTAATCGATTTCGTCGAAGCTATTGCCAGAAAGAATACCGCACCAGCCATCCTTGCGGAAACATTCTTGTCACTGAACCAGTGTAGACGATTGGAAGGAGGTCAGTTCACTGGATGTACTTCACTATTACTAGTTTGGTGGTGGAGCCACTCTTGGATAGTTGAGAAGGGCTGGGCTCGGAGACATCAATCGAATTTTTTGCCTATGGTGGATTTCCTCGACAAATGCCAAATCCCGGAGCATAGCAAGAGAAAAGATTGGGTTGAAGCATTCCGTAACGTAAAGGATACTGAGATTGTGTGGAAGGCTTACTGGTTACCCAAGGAGGATATACTTTTCAGAAGCGGTAACGATAGCTTTGTGATGCTGCACGGATTATGGGGAGCAATCGGGTATACTCCACTAATTGTACTCAGATAATTCAGTACCCGACAGTTTGTACCAGCTACCCACGGCCTGAAGGAGGCATAATTTTCTTTCTCTACTCCAGGTTACCGAGAGCGGATTTAAAAAATCTATACAGCATGGCAGAAACCCCACTGTATGAACTTCAAAATGATAGAGCCTGGATTCACTCCAGCCTATGAGGTTTGGAGGTCACAGAGAATTAATAACAATACACCAAAGCCAAATTTAGAAGACGAGTTGACTATGGAGAAGCGATTGAGGAGGCTCCCAACAGAGGCTGAATTGTTAAAAGAGGATATGCGACTAATGAATCTGGAGAGAGAAAAAGTACAGAGAAACTTCTCAGATGAGAAGACAATGTGGGAGCTCGAGATGATTAAGAAGGATGGAGTGATAAAACAATTAGCCAAAGACAAAGAGAAGGTTCAAGAGAGTTTTGATGCACTAAGTCAAGATTTTCGGGCCTTAGAGAAGAATATGAGAGCCCAGGGTCTACATCATACTGCTAAGACCCTAAAAATAAAACTTGATAGGGTAGAAAGAAGCGCAAGAAGAGGTCAAGAAGAAAAGAAGCGAGCCCTGCAGCACGCTCAAAAAATGAGAGAGCAAAGATATGAGGCTAACCAAGAATTGACACAGAAACGGGCACAGATTGAACGGCTCGAAGCACAACTACTTAGTATGGATAAGACTTTTCACAGCGATGTACTCCGTCTTCAAAAAGAAAATGTGATGTTGAAGAAAATGATAACAGAGTTAGAAGAAGCAAGGTTGATCTACTCATCTGCACAAGACGTAGCCAGGCAAGAGAATGAGGCTTTAAAAGTTAAGATTGCTGAACTAGAAGCTGCAGTATAGAGAGGCCATCAACGAATCCAACAGTTGGAAGAAAGTCGACCATTGACCAATCCATAGCTTAGAACTGCGCTACGGCAGGCTCAGGACACCATTCAGAGGCATCTTGAAGTAATGGAAAGAGCAGTGAATCAAGCCCGTGATGTTGCTCGTCAAGTCTACGAGATATCTGAAGAAGCGACAGCTCTCAGAGTTTTTGTGATCCCAAATTCAGAGGAAGAGCGACGCATCCTGGGGTTGATGATAGAGCTCGAGAGATTAGGCGATAGGGCAAGATTCTACGTTTAATTTCAATGAAGATGTATTCTATTTGCCTAAATGCTTAGACTTTGTGTGTTGTTGAGTACTTTTTGTATGAACTAAGTTATTTCGGAATCAATATCGGGTTGCATTTGCATTTGCATTTTCTTACATTTTTTCAATATTTGAAATCTTAATAATTGCATTATAACAATTCATTCATTCATTAAAATTCACCAAATAATAAAATATAATTTCTAATTATTTGAAGGTTATCCTGTCATTCACCTCACACCTATACGGTACCCGTAAAACTAAGAAAATGGAGGCGAAATTAGCTCAAATTGAACAAGAACACAAACAAGCTCAAGCAAAAATGAGAGAAAGATTAAGCAAAATGGAAGCAGAGATGGAAAGCTCACAAGACGGTTTGCTACAAAAGATCGAAGAAATGTTTAAGAAGCACGCTACAAGTGGAAAAGCTATTGTTGACCAACCAAAATCATCTGATCAGGATCTCTTGCATCCTCCAGGGTTTGAACCTATGGCATCGCATCCTGTCAGGTTTACATCTGGCCCCCAGCACCCACCAGGGTTTACACCCGACCCTTCGCATCCTCCCGGTTTCACCCCAGTGCACATTTCAGTTAGATCGCCAGTTGTGCAAGAGGCTCACCCAGGAGTCTATATAGCGAATCAACAAAATCATAATGAGCCCGTATTTCAAATCGATCACCCACCGGCCGCTAGGGCAAGACCCATTGAATTAGGCGTAGAAGAGTTACCACCTGATTTTCAGGAAGTCTCAGAAAAAGGAAGGGTTAACAGCGATATAACCCAGCAGTTGAAAAGCATGGAGGAAAGAATGAGATCAGTAGAATTGGAGCCATTCTATGGAATGGATGCTAGAGAGCTAAGCTTAGTGCCCGACCTGATTCTACCCTCGAAGTTCAAAGCACCAGACTTTGAAAAGTATGATGGAACTACTTGCCCATCAGCTCACCTCGTCATGTTCTGTAGAAGAATGACAGGGTATACTGAAAATGAGAAACTATTGATACATTGTTTCCATGACAGCCTAACAGGATCAACAATTAAATGGTACAATCAATTAACTAGATCCCAGATCAAGTCATGGAGAGACTTGGCTCGAGCATTTTATGAACAGTATCATCACGTCACCGAACTAGTGCCTGATAGATGGACATTACAGAACATGGAAAAGCGACATAATGAAACTTTCAGACAGTACGCCCAAAGGTGGCGCGATGTTGCTTCACAAGTACAACCCCCGTTGCTGGAAAAGGAGGCTACGATTATCTTTGTACATACTCTGAAGGCTCCATATTTGGGGCATATGTTGGGAAATGCTACCAAGAATTTTGCTGACTTGGTTCTTTCTGGAGAATTAATTGAAAATGCCATTAAAAGTGGCAAGATTGAAGGAGGTGATGGGTCAAAGAGGCCCTATTTCAAGAAAAAAGACAATGAAGTGAACTAGACGAGTACTTATAGCAAGAACTACACAGCCAGCGTCACGATTTCGCAGCCTAAGACAGAGAAGACCAACACCCATGAAAATAGAGGCCAGAGAAGAGAGAATACAATACCGACTTTCTTACCAATGCCAGTACCATATTCAGAAATCTACGCCTCGCTCTTGAAGGCGGATTTAATACACCCTTACAAATTGACTCCGATGCAGCCACCTTACCCTCACTGGTATAATGCCAATGCTCACTGTGAATACCACGCAGGGATTGCTGGGCATGATATCGAGAACTTCCCGCAATTTAAGAAGGTTGTACAAAACCTTATCAACGCTGGAGATTTGGAATTCAAAACACCGGCTGTAAATACTCACCCTATGCCTAATCATGGGGGGCAAGGAATTAACATGGTCGAAGAAGAAGAGATCAGGACGACCAAGAGAAATGTGTCAGAAGTCAAATCTCCCATCTGTTGGGTGTTCAGGCAGTTATGTACATCGGGAATGATTAAGGGTAATCCCAAATCAAGGTCATTGGAACGAGAAACATATTGTGAACATCACCAAACTAAGGACCATGATATCCAGAATTATACTGAATTTCGAGAATTGCTTCAAAAAATGATGGATAGTGGAGAAGTGGAATTTTTCAGTAAGAAGGAAAAACCAAGAGAAATAGACATTTGTATGATGGATGACTCGGGCAGAATGACGGGGATGAGAAAGCCGATAGTCATCACAATTAATCCGGGACAAGAGAGATCATCGTCAACAACTCCAAGGGTGGTGATTACAACTTCGTCCCCCTTCCTATTCAAGGATACTCGACAGGTTCCTTGGAGCTATACAACCAATGTATCAATACCGGAGGGGTCCAAGTTGTCTGAAGGAACAAACGAGGAAAATAACTCAAGCTCAGATGAAGTAAGTGAGGTAGGACATTTCACACGAAGCGAAAGATGCTACTCACCAGATACATCCCTCGAGGTAGACAAAGGAAAAGCTAAAGCCAAAGCCGTCGTAATGCCAAAAATTTTCAATGAAGAACCTCCACCAATCATTAACGAGCCTGTGACTGAAGCTCAAGGTCGTGAGTTTTTGAGGTTTCTTAAGCACAGTGAATACAATATAGTGGAGCAGCTTCACAAACAGCATGCAAAAATCTCAATCTTGGATCTTTTAATCAATTCCGAAGTACATCGAAACGCCTTGCTAAAAGTGCTCAACCAAACATTTGTTCCTGAGGATATCTCGACGAATAAATTGGACCGAATTATGGGTCACATAGCTGCTGACAACTATATTACCTTCACTGATGATGAGATCCCGGAAGGAGGGATGGGATCCATTAAGGCTTTAAACATCATTGTGCACTGCCACAGTCATGTCCTGCCAGGGGTTCTTATAGATAATGGGTCGGCACTGAATGTAATGCCCTTTGCTACACTGCAAAGGATGCCCATTGATAGCTCACACATGAGAGCGTATCATAACATCGTCAGGGCATTCGACGGAACCCAGAAGGACATGATGGGAAGGATGGAAATACCCTTAATGATCGGGCTTGCTATTTACAATGTTGATTTTGTGATAATGGATATCCACCTGACATACAACTGTTTGTTAGGAAGACCTTGGATCCATGCAGCAGGGGCAGTTCCTTCATCCCTGCATCAAAAGCTGAAGTTCATAATTGATAGAAGATTGGTCAGTATTGGGGCTGAACAAGAAATCATAGCTTCTGTAACGTCTGAGACCCCGTATATCGACATTAATGAGGATACCTTGGAGTGCTCATTCAGGGCTTTGGAATTCATCAATGCAACCTATGTGGCTGAAGATAGTAGAATTCCACGACCCGCACTGTCAAATTATACTAAGATGACAGTGAGACAAACCCTAGGAAGAGGAGCAAAGATCGGTAAAGGACTGGGAAAAGAGCTGCAGGGGCAGCTACGACACATAACTGTTGAGTGGAAGAATGACCGTTTCGGGCTCGGATTTAAGCCCACATTCCAGCAGAGGGGTCAAGAAATGAAGAAAAAGAATCAGGCAAGAAAGGCCAGATTGAGATGAGAGGATGTCTCGGGTGAACGCATGTCATTTCCTCCCCTGAAGAGCTCTTTCAAATTTGGAAGAGTGTACAACGCAGAACAACAGCTAACTAGCACCATCGAAACCGAGGTGACAAGCGAAGCTCTGAAAGGACTGTCAATCAATATGATTTCTGGGGGCAACCAACCCGGTAAATTTCTAGCTGGAATCCGTCCGTGCTTACCTGGTGAAAAGCTCGACAATTGGACAGCCGAGGACCTCCCTAAAGTTTTTAGGGTCAATCCAAAGTAATGCCCAGAAATAATTTGTATTAGCATCTAAAAAAATATCTGTTGAACTTCTTGTAAAATTTCACGCTTATCCCATCAATCAATAAAAGATATTTTCCTCAAATAACAATCATTTTCATTCTCCACATTATTCCATAATGTTCTTCATATCATATTATTTATTCTCCAAATCTCCAAATTCTTCATTTTTCATTACATCATATTTTTATTTCTTTACTCTCCAATATATCCTAGTCAAATTTCATGCAGATATCGCAATAATACTAGCATAATTGTTCCTGAGGCTAGTTGCAAGACAAATTTCAAGCGATCACCATATTTGGAAGAAGTCAAAGAATGTGAAGATGAAGAAGACTGTGAAGTCCCTAGTGAGCTATTAAGATTGGTGGAAAGAGATGAGAAACATATCCTACCCCACAAGGAAGAAGTAGAACTTGTAGACTTGGGGACCATTGAGGTACAAAGAGAAATAAAGATTGGCACTACTCTATCCGCAGAAATAAAGTTAGAGTTGATAAGTTTGCTCCAGGAGTTCAAAGACATCTTTGCTTGGTCGTATCAAGATATGACAGGGCTAAGTACTGATATAGTAGTCCACACATTGCCCATCAAACCAGAATGCAAACCCGTCCAACAAAAACTCAGAAGGATGAAACCAGAGATGTTATTAAAGATTAAGGAAGAAGTATCGAAACAGATTGATGCAGGTTTTCTTCAGGAGTCCAAATATCCTGAGTGGGTAGCCAATATAGTACCGGTACCTAAGAAAGATGGGAAGGTACGCATGTGCGTAGGTTATCGAGACCTTAACAAGGCTAGCCCAAAAGACAATTTTCCCTTACCTCATATAGACACCCTGGTGGATAACACTGCAGGGCATTCATGGTTTTCCTTCATGGATGGCTTTTCAGGGTACAATCAGATCAAAATGAACCCTGAAGACATGGTGAAAATGACGTTTATAACCATGTGGGGAACTTTTTGCTATAAAGTAATACCAATCGGGTTGAAGAATGCTGGGGCAACCTATCAAAGAACCATGGTGACTCTCTTCCACGACATGATGCACAAGGAGATATAAGTATACGTGGATGACATGATTGCCAAGTCCAGAATGGAAGAAGAGCATGTACAAAATTTGAGAAAGTTATTCCAACGATTAAGGAAGTACCAATTAAAGCTCAATCCAGCAAAATGCACATTCGGAGTAAAATCTAGAAAATTATTGGGTTTTGTGGTAAGCCAGAAAGGAATCGAGATTGATCCGAATAAGGTTAAGGCAATTCAAGACCTTTCCGCACCACGCACACAGAAAGAAGTTCGAGGGTTTCTAGGAAGGTTAAATTATATATCGCGATTCATTTCTCAGCTTACTGATAAATGTGATCCGGTATTTAAATTGCTCAAGAATAATAATCCTGAGGTATGGAATGACGAGTGCCAGGAGGCTTTGGAAGTCATCAAAAGGTATCTGTCTAATGCCCCCATATTGGTATCGCCAGTACCTGGCATACCATTAATTCTCTACTTAACAGTTTTTGAGAATTCAATGGGTTGTGTACTAGGGCAGCATGATGAATCGGGAAGAAAAGAAAGAGCCATTTATTACTTGAGTAAGAAGTTTACCGATTACGAGACTCGATACTCACAAATTCAAAAGTTGTGTGGTGCCTTAGTTTGGGCTACTCGAAGACTCAGACGGTACATGCTATATTATACTACATGGTTAATATCAAGGATAGATCCGTTGAAATTTTTGATGGAGTCCCCTGCTTTAACTGACAGATTGGCTAGATGGGAGATATTGTTATCTGAGTTTGATATTGTCTATGTGAGTCAAAAGGCAATAAAAGGGAGCGTTATAGCCGACTTTCTTGCAAGTCGTGCCTCGGAGGATTATGAGTCTCTAAACTTCAATTTCCCAGATGAAGATTTAATGTGCATTTCTACCGAGGAGGAAAGCTCCGAAGGCAACAAATCTTGGACTTTGTACTTTGATGGTGCCTCTAACACTTTAGGAAAGGGAATTGGGGCAGTGTTGATTTCCCCAGAGGAGATTTACTACCCTTTCACAAGCAGATTAGATTTCTTTTGCACCAATAACATGGTCGAATACGAAGCTTGCATTATGGGGTTAAAAGCGGCCATTGAAAGAAAGATTAAAACGCTCAAAGTATACGGAGATTCCTCGCTAGTAGTGTACCAATTAAGGGGAGAATGGGAAACGAAAGACTCAAAGCTAGTCGAATACAGAAATTTAATCCTCGAATTACTAAAAGAATTTGAGGATGTCATGTTCAGATATCTCCCCCGAGAGGACAATCAAATGGTAGATGCTTTAGTTACCTTAGCAGCAATGTTTAAAGCTAATAAAAGAATAGACATGATGCCCATAACAATACAAGTATACGATACCCCACCCTACTGTTATCACCTAGAAGAAGAAATAGATGGTCATCCATGGTACCACCATATCCTACAATATATGAGATACCAGACTTATCCTCCCGGTGCATCTGAAATTGACAAGAAAACCATCAGAAGAATGGCAACCAGGTACTTCCTTGATGGGGAAATCTTGTATAGAAGGGGCAGTGACCAAGTTTTACTGAGATGTGTAAATGCCAAAGAAGCAAAGAATGTGATGGAAGAAGTACATGGAGGAACGTGCGGAACACATACGAATGGATTGTCCATGGCTAGAAAAATTATGAGATATGTATACTATTGGGCCGCAATGCATACGGATTATGTCAATTACGTGAGAAGATGCCATAAATGCCAGATATATATGGATAAAATCCAAGCACCGCCTTCACCTTTGCACGTTATGAGCTCACCCTGGTCGTTCTCTATGTGGGGTATGGACGTCATTGGGGCAATCACACCAAAAGCTTCAAATGGGCATCGATTCATTTTAGTAGCAATTGATTACTTCACAAAATGGGTAGAGGCTGCTTCCTATTCCAGTATCATGAGATCTACAGTTTGTAGATTCATAAAGAGGGAAATAATATGTCGATATGGATTTCCAGAAAGAATCATCACAGACAATGCTACTAATTTGAAAAACAAGATGATGGATGAACTTTGTTCGCAGTTCAAGATAAAGCATGACAACTCTATTACTTATCGGTCGAAAATGAATGGGGCGGTAGAGGCAGCAAACAAGAACATCAAAAGGATCATTACGAAGACTACAGAAACTTACAGAGATTGGCACGAGAAATTACCTTTTGCCCTTTATGGGTATAGAACGACCGTACGAACATCGACAGGGGTAACGCTTTTCTCTTTGGTATATGGAACAGAGGCAGTCTTACCTATTGAGGTTAAAATTCCATCACTTTGAGTCTTGAAAGAAGTGGAGTTGGATGAAGAAGAATGGATCCAGTCTCGCCTTGATCAACTGAATCTTATTGAAGAGAAAAGGTTGAATGCTATATGTCATGGAAAAATGTATCAAAAGAGGATAATGAGAGCCCACAACAAGAAGGTACGCCCAAGAGAGTTCAAAGAGGGAGATCTAGTATTGAAAAATATTTTGCCTATCCAGAAGGATTTCCGTGGAAAATGGATGCCTAATTGGGAGGGGCCCTATGTTGTCAAAAGGGCCTTCTCTGGGGGAGCGATAATTTTGGCGGAGATGGATGGAAGGGTACTGAAAAACCCTATAAATTCAGACTCTGTCAAGAAATATTACGCCTAAAAAGAAAAAGAAAAAAGAAAAGGAGAGGTTCGAGGTGAAAACCCGTAAAGGGCACTTTGAAACCAAAGGAGGATTTGAGTCGAAAACCCGAAAAGGGCGGCTCAAATACATTTTGATATGAAGGCATCTGACAAGTAAACCCCTTGAGATAGTAGTAGTTCATGAAGGACTTCATATAGGACCACCTTGGGGTGTCAAATCAAATGGTACAGGAACAATGGTGCTAGAATTCATTAGGATATATGTTAATTTGTTTCCAGAGTTTTTTTTCCAATTTCCATGACTCTGTATAAAACTTTTCTTTTGTCAATAAATTTTATGAGTGTTATTTCAATCTTCAACTCATTTTTTATGTGTACCACAAGTAACTGAGCATAATACAAATTCCAGAAATTTCTCGGTATTACTTTTAATTGACCTGTAAAATAATGGGAATCCAAGGTCGTCTATTTGGGTTGATATTTGCACTAATTAAAGCAAAGGATTGATGAAAGGGCGAAACAAGAAATGACAGCAACCCGAAAAACACAGAGTCAACAAAGACATGGATTCGACAGGGATAAAATGGGAAAACAAAGGCTTACAAAACCCTAAAAAACCCAAAGAACACATCATGTATACTCATGCATTCATTGAATAAGAGCATATGCATACATTTACACAAGGTTTTGAAAACATGACAGGAACTAAGAGAATCAACGAAAGATTCATTTCACAACTTACGCAGAGAATCAGTCCATATCTTTCATGGACCGCCGTCAATTTAAAAACCTTGAAGAGAAGATAAATATTTTCAGTAAAGAATTCGTAATAAAGAGATTGTTCAACTTTTTGCTCGATTCTATCACAGAAGGAGGTAGATCAGCATCGACTTTTGCTCGATTCTATCACAGAATGAGGTAGATCAGCATCGACATCTCGTTCGATTCCATCACAAAAAGAGGTGGATCGACATTTTTATTTTCACTCAAATCCATCGCAGAAGGAGTTGGATCAACGTCAACTTTTAGCTCGATTCTATC